ATTGAAAGTGTAGAAGCTGTTGGGCCCAGCATGGTAGCCTAGTGGCTAAAGTCCTCACCTTGCATGCACCTAGATTTCATGGGCATCGGTTTTTATCCCAGCTGCTCCACTTCATTCCATCTCTTTGCTTGTAGCCTGGGAAGTCAGTCAAGGATAGTGCAAAGCTTTAGAACCCGCTGAACCCACATAGGAGACCCAGGCTTCTGGCTTCAAATCAGCTCAGCTCTGGCCCTTGTGGCCACTTGGGGAGTGGCAGCGGATGGAAGATCTTTCTCTGTCTCTTTCTCTAAATCTGACTTTCCAATATTAAAAAAATTTTTTTTTTTAAAATATAGGAGCTCTTGAATTTGACCAACAGGTGTCAGCCACTCTTCATCTGAATTTTTGCAGTGCAGTGCAATGCGCTGTTTCACTTGTATCAGTGTAATCAGAAATTGGATGGTTTAAGTCACCTATGTTTTAAATACTGGCAGCAAGTCCATACTAACAAAAACATATTCAGGCAAAACATGTCCTTGCAGTCATGTTGGAAATTCAGTTTCCATGTATGCTAAAGCACAGGTTTTGTGTGCTTTTTTGTTGTTTTGGTGCCCTCATAAGTTATCATAGGAGGCATACTGTGTTTCAGTCTGATTGTGCTGTGCTATAGTCCTCAAGGAATCAGCCCTTGGTTTTTGCAAACTAGTGTAAGTTTTAAATTTATATCATAATAAAGGGAAAACTGTAACTACTTCAGGGCTAGCTTCTGTCATTTCATTGGTTCTGTGTTAGCAAAGATAGCTAACAAAGATAGTGTCTTGGTCTAGTAAAATCTGGAGGTAGGTAAAGATTACTTTGCTTGCATGGCTGGTTAACTTACAGGAGTTGGACCTCTTGCACTGGAACCAAATGTTCTCTTTAGCAAGCTCATGTGAGGTTTTAGCTTTGGACAGTTTAATTTCCCCTTCCTCTTCTCTATTTACTGCTTTTTTGTTACTCTGTTTTTCCAGCTTGTAAGCTATTTGAGAAGATAATTACAATTTGTGAAGAGCAACAGAACAAAAGCAACAGGGTAAACATACCCCAGATTTGTGGCTTTTTGCATTTTACATCAGTGAGAAATACTGTATAGTTAATTTGTAAAATGTTATATTTAATGCAGGGTTTTAAACAATAATTTATTTTGAATAATTGATCATTGAGTCATACATACAGTTCCAGTGAAATAATAGAATTTGACCATCTGTAGTGATTGTAATTTTTGGTTCTCCTGAAGAAAGATAGAAGAATATCTCACACTCGGAAGTACATGTAATTGTGTACAGCTAGCGTGCACTTTTCAGTTTACAGCGGCTACTATATGGTTCACAAGTCAAGACTTGTGATATTTGGAATAGTTTCACAGTTAACAGTTTATCTTTGGAGCCTAAAAATGCTATTTTTATTTTTTGCCCCTTCATCAACTTTGTATTTTTCCTTAAACACATGTTTTAGTGATAATTTCATGTTTTGTCTTGCTGTAACACCCATTCAATGTTCTTTATTGTCATCAATGCAAGTTTTTTTTGTCCTTTTCCTTTTTTTTTGGATTTGTTTTGTTTGGGGAGGCTGAGTTACAGAGAGGAGAGGGAAAGATCTTCTAGCTGGGTTAATCAGGCGCCAGGAGGCTCCTCTGTCCTGTATCAGTGCAGCGGCCTGGGCTGTCTTGCTGCCATCGCAGGCTGCCAGCAGGGAGGTGGACATGAAGTGATGCCGTAGGGACTCCAGTCAGCACCTGTAAGGGATGTTGAGATTAGCTTGCTACACCACGTGCTGGCCCCTGGGTTTTTTGTTTGTTTCTTGTGCCAATGTTAATTTTTTTGTTTATATTGTTTTCACTCATTTTGCCCATGTTTTTTTTCAGTAACTGCAACAACAAAGCTTTTCCTTTTCACATTTTCCTAACTTGTTTTTAGATATAACTTCACAGAATATGTAATGGCTCCTTCATTTCTCCTACCTGCTAAGAAATATTTTAGTAGCGGTTTTAGTGATATCTACTGAATTTGGGAATGAACATGCATGAGTCACAGAATTTTCTAATAATGATTTTCATTTACCATTTTGTGGAAGACTAATGCAGTTTTTGAGATTTTAAAAGGGAATATGCAGATAGGTTGTCTGTGCATATCTTATTGGTGATCACTGCAAATTTAATCACTGCTTTGTGAGCCAGATAGAAAGGCTGTATAATTAAGATTAGAATTTGTAAATAGTAACACAAGTACAGCTTTGATCTTTTTAAATGGACTATACATTGGTGTTGGCCACACAGTGTTGGATGTTATATGCATTTGGAAAAAAGTGGTAGTTGCTAGCATATCATACTAGTATGATATCCAGCTAAGTACCTTAAGATCAAGTAGACTTAAGGTTTATTAAGCCTGTTATGTATCAAATGCTTTTATCCAGATGGTACAGTAGTAACATAAATTGCCACATATCTAGATTTTTAGCAATGTGAGAATATTGAATTTGGGGAAATTTTTTTAGTTACCAGCCTCAGAGTTGTTTATAACCCTTGTCCTGAAATCAGTTGAGCTTGAGGCTTGCTGTTTGCTACTTGTGCTGTTGAAATCTTGGCCAAGTTAAATTTGGCCATTCACTGCATACCATTGTTGATCACATGTTACCAGTATTAGAACATCTTGAGTTCATAGTACAGCTTAGATGGCATAGTTGCATCATATCAGATGTGAAAAGCAGTTCAGGCAGGTGCATTCAGAATTCTTCAGTTGTTTAACTGACAGTGTCAAGTGCTAACATGTGGGGCAGCTGGAATTCTTTATATAGTATATTGTTGGTGAGAATATAGAATGATGATATCACTCTGAAAAATTTGGCAGTTTCTTACTTGACGTGGATTAGGCAGTCTCGTCCCACTCCCTAGTATTTATCTAAGGGATATGAAATTACCAAAGGCTTGTGTTTGAATATTAGTAATATCCCAAATTAGAAACAGTCCAAATTTCCACTACTGAGAGAATGGATAAATGAAATGTTGGGGTGGGGGTGGGGAGTAGAGAAAAAGGAGAGATGATTGATTCATGGAACATAGTGTGAATCTAAAGAATGTTTTTTGCTGACATAAAGAATTTCAAACATAAAAGTCCATAAATTTATCTGAAATTCTAGAAAAGTCCAGATTACATACAGTACATAGAAAATTTCTTTAACATGATTGTGATGGTTCTGAGACTATGCCTGCATTTGTCATAATTAACTGCATTGCATATTTGATTTTGTCACTTACACATTATATTTTGTATGATAGAAGTTTATAAAACTAAATTTTAAAAGAAGCTTTAGTGACTGTTAATCCTGGTAGATAATACCAGTGATTGAAAGAGCCTTTACGTCATTAAGAATATTGTTAACTGAAAAGAGCTTCATTATTCAAAAATAAAGATACTGTGATTGTCCTGGTTGATACAGGACATTTTAGTTTTATTGGACTCCTGATAAATATTAGAAAGTCCATTTATTTATATCAAGCTTTTATGATAAAAATACTTGATATGTATGCTTAACCTTTCAGTAGACAGCCATTTCTCACACCAGTAACCTATTTTTAAATTGCAGCTATTCAAATAAATGAAAAAGGTTTCAAAATATCTACCCCCATTAAACATGTTAACATTCTGAACAAAGCTGACATTATAGCACCCCTTAAACACAACTATACTGAAAGTCATTCTAGTTTGAAATTTTGTACTTAAAGCAAGTGTTCATGTACGTAAAAGTTTTTTTTTACACAATGAAATTTAAATGGTGTCTTGACTGGATACTATTTTGCAGATTTTTCAGTTAAAATAATGAAGTTGGCAGTATCTAAAATGTTTAAGAGATGGTTTTATGTTCTTTTGGGACTCTTTAGAAGTCCTTAAGTTTTTGTCCTATGGACATTTAGTAAAAAGACTGAAAATTGCACACATACACAAGAAAACCTGTTTTAATTTTACAGTCTTTGCAGCTTTCAGCCTGCAGTTGCATTTTCAGTTTTTTTATATTATTATTTTAAATACTTATTTAACTTGAAAGATTTAGAGGGAGAGTGATTCTTTCCATTCTCTGGTTCATTCCCCATATGCCAGAGCTAGGAGCCAGGAGCTTCTTCTGGGTCTTCTACATGGGTGCAGGGGTCCAAGGCACTGGGCCACCCTTCACTGCTTTCTCCCAGCCAATAGCAGGGAACTGGATTGGAGCAGTAGTGGAACTGCCACAAGTCTTTAATTGGCACCTACAATGGGATGCTGGTGCTGCTGGCAGATGTTTAGCTTGCTGCAACCCTGTTGAAAGAGCTGTACAGTCATGTACTACATTATGTTTTGATCAGTGAGGGGCAAATACAACAGTAGACTGGTAAGATCACAGTGCTTTGGGACATCTGAGCCATCTTGGTGTGTGTCAGCACACTCTGATGGTTGCACAACAAAGTCAGCAAATGGCACATCATATCACAGTATGGCCTTTAGTCAGCATGTGACTATACTTAGTTGCTACTTTTTCTTAATGGTTAGGTTTTGAGAGGACCTGCTCTGTGCCAGTTTAAATGAGGGCTTCCCCAAAAGCAAGGATTCAGAGTGCCTTGCTATTAGTGTTGTGATATTCGTGGGTTCTATCGAACTTAATATTAATGGTTGTGGCCACTTAGTACATAATGTGCTTTTATTTTTTTAACCTACCAACTTTTTTGTCCTTTTAATCTGTATTTCTTGCCCTTGAGTGAAGAACTTTAAAATTAGTTTTTACTAATTAGTGCTGAGCAAAAATGAAGCTGAATAGCTGAATTCAGATGGTGTATATATGCTGTTCTGGTTGAATGGTGCTCCTGTTTGTACTAAGAATCTTTCTAGAATATTGGTTTTCTGAATGTTGCTTGAAGAGAATTTAAGGGAAAATGGCTCTACAAAATAACTTCTGGAAAATCGGTTTCTTTCTTAACTTGAAGGTTTTTTTCTTGTCAAACTTTTTTCTTTTAGAACAAATCTTGTACAACATAAAACAAGAGTATAAACGCATGCAAAAGAGAAGACATTTAGAAACAAACTTCCAACAGACAGATCCGTGTTGTAGTTCTGATGCACAGTCACATGCGTTTCTCCTCAGTGGACCAGCTTCACCAGGTAAGGGTAATCTATGGGAAATGATAAGGTGCTTTTACAGGAAAAGCATAGTCAAATGGCATTCCTATTTTTCTCAATAAAAATTCATAAGAAGTGTTATCTTAAAAATATGGTACATCTAGATTTCTAGTGACCAAAGAAACACTTGTCGGATTACTATGACCTGATTTTTAAAATGAATTTCCCATAATTACTGATGTTGGGGTTTTTTGGATAGTGTGTCTTAGCTACATCTTGTCGGAGGTAAAGTTTGCAAGTTGATTTTCTTAAAGGTAGAAAAAACAGGCTGTTTTAAATGGAGGGAAAGCTGAAGTTTCTTGCCAAAAAAGCTATCAAAGGCAGTTCTTAATTTTAGTTCTTAAAGTATTTTTTCTTAAAATAGATGTTTCTTTCCTTTATTTTTCATTGCTATATTTCCAGAATCACAAATGGATAGAATTATTTTAACATATTTTAAGACTCTAATCTGGTACTTAAAACTGATAAATGCTTTTATAATAATCAATATTGAAAAGAGGTCTAAGTGAAACCTCTTGAGTTATAAGATGTCCTTGTGCCTGAACTTTTTGTTTGTTACTTATAGGGACATCATCCGCAACATCCTCACCATTAAAAAAAGAACAGCCCTTATTTACCCTACGGCAGGTTGGAATGATCTGTGAACGTTTGTTGAAAGAACGTGAAGAGAAAGTGCGAGAAGAGTATGAAGAAATATTGAACACAAAACTTGCAGGTATGAAATGAGGTTAATATTCTCTGTAAACTGGCGCCCATATGGGATCCTGGCGCGTTCATAGGCGAGGACTTTACCGCTAGACCATGCTGCCGGGCCTTTATTTTATTTACTTCAAAGTGAGAGAGACCTCCCATCCATCCTAAGTCCTGTAACAGCTGAGGCTGAACCAGGCTCAGGGCCAGAGCCAGGACTCTGTCTAGGCCTGCCACACGGGTCTCAGGCATCCAGCTGCTTGAGCCTCCCTAGTCTACACTGGCAGGAAGCCTGATGGAGAACAGAGATGGGCCTGGAACACGCGCATTCCAGTGCAGCATGTGTACATTCTGAACGGCAGCTTACCCACTGTACCAAATACATCCTCCAAGCCCTTTACTTTTATTCACTGTGAAATAAGATTGAATCATATATAACTTTAGCTAAGCCTGGGTTTTCTGACTGAAATCTGCACTCTGTTTGATACACAGTTGATACCATGGGTGAAGCCACCTATGCCACTCAGCTTCCCATATGGACACTGGTCCAGACTGCTCTACTTCTGATCCCAGTTCCCTGCTTATGTGCCTGGGAATGCAGCAGATTTTACAAGTGCTGGGACCCCTGCACTCATGTGGGAGACCTGGACAACTTCTTACTTCGGTCTGGTTCAGCCTTGACCAGTATAGCCATTCGGGGAATGTGCCAGTGAATTGAAGATATCTCTTACTCTGGTTTGATTCTCCCCCTTCTCTAATACTGCATTTTCAAAAAAAACAGTTTTCCTTCTTAAAATAAAAATTTATTTATTTTGGAAAGGCAGTTCAGTCCCCAAATGGCTGTAATGGCTTGAAGTCCATCCTATCTCAAGCCAGGATCCAGGGGCTTCTTTCTTTGTCTGCATGTAGGAACAGGGTCCCAAGAACTTGAGCTGCCATTTGTCACTTTCCCAGGCCATAAATTGGGAGATGGATCAAAGTGGAGAAGCCAGCTCACAAAACTGTGCTCATTTGGGATGCTAGTGCTTCATGGTGGAGGGATTAGCTAGTTGAACCATTATGTTGATCCCCAAATAAGCATCTTTTAAACGAATACAGTTGTTTCACTTTATATTAAGTTTTGAGTATTTATCTGGTACTATAAATTAGAGTATTTTCCAGGTTGTATGAATGACATTTCTCTTTATTTATAGAACAATATGATGCATTTGTGAAGTTTACGCATGATCAGATAATGCGACGATATGGAGAACAGCCTGCTAGTTGTAAGTATTTCAATCTTGAAGTTATAAACCAAAAACACAACCTGCTTTTAAGAAGACATTTTTTTCATATTGAAAGTAATTTTAATCGTTCACGTATATGGGGAATAGACAGCATAATTTTGCAAGGCTTATTTGATTAAATTATTTAGCAGCAATATTAGGAGCGACAGTCTGGAATGTTTGGATTTTGCTTTGAAGGTATTCTAATTTTGACTCAATTTTCCTTTTCTTCCCCCTTTAGATGTTTCATGAATGAACATTTTCTGCATTTGTGGGCTGCCTTCTTGTCGAGTTGTTGCAGGAGGTCCCAAATAACACATGCAGCAATGCCAACATCCCCTGTGAATACAGGTTATTTCAAACTTTTGTCGGTGGCAACCACTCTTAGGCAGCAGCAGTTGGTTTTGAAATTTCCCTGATGTCAGTACCACCTGGATGTGGACCTTTGCTACCTGTATTACTACCAGTGGCCTCATTTTGCTGTATCATTACAATTTGGCTTCTTATGTGTTTGAAAAGGATTAAAGCTGGTATTCTAGAACATGCCCTTTGCTGGTTGTGTAAATAAAACTGTAGAATGACACTTCAGATGAAGTTAGTGTGATTTTAATTGTGCACTGCAACCAAGCTGTAACCAGTTATTAATAAATTAGAGTGTAATCCCAGGACAATATTAAGCAAATAGCCTATAGTGCTTCCTTTCAATTAGTGGAGGAAGGGGGCATTTCTGTGTTCCAGGACTTCTTGGGGTTTCAGAATGGATTTATATGATTTTTTTGGGGTAGTTTTATTTATTCTATCGGTCTTTTTAACAAATGTTTATTGCTGCATTCTTCTCACCCCCTTCCCCCCTCCCCCCCAATCATTGTTTTACTGCCCTTGTAGTACTGGAATTTAGTTGAAAGAATAAAACATTTACTTCTATTCTGCTTGTTTTTTAAATGTACAGATGGGTAGTATTCGAATAAACCCAGTGTTTTAAATTTAAGTATTTTCCAGTAATCAATGAAATTAATTTTCCGGTTAAGGTTTATGATTTGTGTGGTGCTTCCAAAAACTAACTTGTGATTCTAAACTTTTATAATTTGCTAAATGGTAGAATGTAGGTATAATAGATTAGTTTTACCAGCTGTAGGATTTTGTACCTTAAAGATTACCTGGAGAAACTAGGCTTTCTAAAAACAAAGATTAATAATATGCCTGAGTCAACAAATTTAACACTTAATGCATTTGTTCTAAAGATCCCTTTCTTACAATGAGATGAGTAAAAAAAAGAAAATGCTTCATGAGTTTTTGAAACCTAATTTCAGTTACTTCTTTAATTTTAAGCCAATCTAAGTGTACTGGGGCATATGCATACATAATTGACCTAACTGAACATGGTAGAGGACTTTTACAAGACAGACCCTCCCTGGGTAATTCATGTGTCCATTAGCATTTAAGAAATACAGAGTGGTTTACTAAAGCCATTTTCAATCTCTATGTTGGTATCCTTACCTAGCCATAATAGGCAGGTTATGTTCAACTTCTTGTTCCACATCTCCACGTGGGTATGTAATAGACATTTCAAAATTGTGTCCCAAACCTAAATTATTATTTTTGTCTCTTAGAAAATTTCCATCCATATGTTTCTGATGAATTAATGAAAGCTCTGTTCTAGGTTTTCAGCCAAAAGTAGTTTTGAACTTCCTTATGGGTTCTTGGTTTCCAGGTAAAGTTGCTGCCAAAATGTCAACATGGGAGGTCTTAGCTTGCCTAGGTTATTTCAGTGGTCTCTTAATTGGATTTTACTTTGCCCCAGTTGGATCTCTTCATTCATTCATCCCATTGTCTTCTCACAACAGCTGAAACCTTTAAAGGACCAAGTCAGAGCTTACAGTGGTCTTTTTGTACCACACCCGCGTTACCATTCTGTTTGTTGCTCATTCTACCTTACCCACAATGGCCACCTTTGCCACTTTTGCATTAGGACCTGTTACTGCTGTTCTGCACCTCGAGTGCTTCTGCTATTAAGACTTCACGGGGTAATTCTCTGTCTTTTGAGTTTTTTTGCTCATCTAAGTGAGGCCTACTCTGACCAATTTTTAAGATGGCTGCCTGACACTCCGCTTCCTACTCTGCAGTAACGTACTTGCTCTACTCCTCTGCTAGAATGCAGTAAAGGCAAGGATCTTTGGTCACAGTGCCTAGAGAAGGGTTTTAAATGACTATATCAGGTAAATATATTTTTAACATTAAGACAGTGAATTGGAATATCCCATAAAATCTTTTGACTAGGTTTGTCTTGGATTAGGGAATACGCACAGAATTAACTAACAATACATAGGCTGGCTTCAGAGTGCTCCAATATTTAATACAAATGAGGGCTGTGTGTTTTAATTTTATAATTCTTTGGATATTTTCTGAAAATAGGACAGTTTGTCTTGCTGGTCTTGCTTAATCTAATCTTTAAAAACTACATTTTAAAGTCACATGAAGTTAAATACTTAACAAAATTGGAAGCAAAGCAGAACCATTCAGACAACCCATGCTGAGAAGAGAATCTGATTCCACTCTAAACTTTTACAGAGTGTAGGGGTCTTCTTTAAGGAAATGGTTTCTAAAGTTTTTCTGGTGGTTATCTGGATCGTTGAAAAGTTGGAGGAAGCCACCCTGTACACAGAAATGGTGTTATTAAAATGACATGAAGTATTGGGAAACCTTCTTCATTGTTGCTTTTCTTACCTAAAAAAGACAATGCCTTTATTAACCATTGTTCAAACAAATGAAAACTCATGGGTCACCGCACAATTAACTAGGGGCAGTTGATATAAAAGGTAACTCACGGACTCATAGACTTTACACAGAAGAAATTTATTTGGTCATGTCCATTTGGCAAAGGCCCAGATTCATGCCCCCATTTAGGGATAACCACGCCCCATCCCCAAGGACGACTGATACTTCTGCTGGTTCACTCTTCAAATGGCAATAACATTACAACAGGGCCAGGCAGAAGACAGGAGCCAGAACTTGAAATCAGGTTCGCCATTGTCAGTAGTATGGACTCACTGCTTGAGCCGTCATCTGTTGCCTCTAGAATCTACAATTGGTGGGAAGCTAAAATTGGGCATAGAGCTGGGATTTCAGCCAATATACTCTGATACCTATCACAAATTTCTTAACAGTGACAGTCCTGATTCTCCTGAATAAAAGGCTACTTTACCATTGTCTTTCTGAAAGCATTTTATCAGTTTTCCCTAGAGGCAGTCTCTTCCCCACCCCCACCCCCTCCTTCCACAGTGCTGTTTGGCAAGGTGATTGGAATTCTCTTGGGAAGAACAAGCCATAAAGAGCTTTTAGGTATCTTTGTTTCTTTCAGTGTTGATGATAAGATGGTGTAAGAGCCTTTTCATCTGAATCTGTTTTTAAAGTCTGGATTGTAGTTTAAAGTTTAAAGGCCTTGTAGACTTTTTTTTTTTAAAGGTTTATTTATTGGAAAGTCAGATATACAGAGAGGAGGAGAGACACAGAGGAAGATCTTCTGTCCGATGATTCAGTACCCAAGTGAGTGCAACGGTGGGTGCTGCACCACTCCAAAGCCAGGATCCAGAAGGATCCAGAAACTTCTTTCGGGTCTCCCACACGGGTGCAAGGTCCCAAGACTTTGAGCTGTCCACGACTGCTTTCCCAGGCCACAAGCAGGGAGCTGGATGGGAAGTGGAGCTGCCGGGATTAGAACCGGCGCCCATATGGGGATCCTGGCATGTTCAAGGTGAAGACTTCAGCTGCTAGGCCACTGTGCCGGGCCCAGGCCTTGTAGACTCTTAAGACTCCATGATGGGTTATCCAGAAGTAGAACATATACGGCCATTACACAGGAGATGGGTAATTTAGGATGTTAGGTAATAGCCAGGAGAAAGCTTTTTTGTTACTGTATACATACTAAAGAGAGGAATGAGTATTGCTGAGCCAATTGCAAATAATTTATTCCTGGATAAAGGAATTTAGTACATTTATATACTATGTTTAAGAATGGCTTATTTATAACGTAGTAATGACTTAGTATAGTAATTAATATAACCTGTAGGAAATCTTAGTTAAAATGTAATCATTGTTGGATTCTAAACTACTCTGAAAATGACTTACACCTGTTTGGGTTAGCCGTGTCTTTTCTAGTGCAGTGTAATCCAATAATTTTCTTTCTAGCAGCCTCCCCATGTTAGTCGTGCAACATGATCAGTCTTCTGTTTGGTTGGTTTTATAAATCCTAAAAGTTCCAGTTCAGAAACGGCTCTGATAAACCGAGCACTGGAGAATAAGGCTAAGGAAATTGGCTGTGTTGTATTTTTGACAAAGGTTAAGATCTCAGTGATAAAATACTAGTTGACAAACAAATAGACATTTTAAATATTCATTTCTAAATTAAGCTATATTCATTTACTCGGAAGTATGAAATGAAATTAGAATCCACAAACAAAAGGATGCAACGCCTAAATTAATTTTTCATATAGAATAAAAATCACATCCCTTTCCTCATCCCATGACTATTCCTGAGAGTATATTAGCAAAATACAAGATTCAATGACAGTTTTCATTTTGGCAAGTTTTGGAATATAAGCAAGAAAAAAAATTTGAGTATCTAAAAGTTAACAATTACTTGGGTATGTTATGGCTAATACCATAATAAGGTCTGTAATACACGTGAAGATTCATAGATCTATAAACTTACATTATATGTGTGTCTGGACCAATGTAGAGCTGGTAAAAGGATACTGGATAATTTCACTCATTTCTTCAGAAGGTGTAGACTTTGCATCTATATTTTCAGCAGCTGTGACAACTGTTGCAAAAGCCTTTTGAATACATAAGACAGAGGAAAATAAAAATTTCCACAGTTGCCAAACATCTTTTATTGTACTTCCGATGGTTTAGTAATTAAGCCAAATCCAACACTGCTGCTTCTAATAGCTGGCACATTTGTTTTAAAAGTATATCACATTTCGCATTCTGAAAAGACCCAAGGAGCATTCAATTACACGTTAAAATGCAACTTTATAATTTGTTTCAAAGATGTAGAGAAAATTAAGAAGCAACTTATCCAAAGGTAAACAAGCCTCATTTTCTCTATCAATCTTCCTCACCTAGGGAATTGCCTGTTTTTCTTCTAAGCAGCCAATTACGGATACTTTCAAATAGTGTAAGACAACTGTAAACCCAGGGTTTTCAACAGTTCATCCTCTACCAAGTGTTCCTTGTACTTCCTGGTTGCAAAATCTGTTTTGTAGTCATTCCATTTTTTAAAAAATGTAACGTAAAAAGGGAAATTCTAGATAATAATATGCCTCATTTTGTGGAATAACATAACCTAAATTGTTTAGCTTCTGCTTAATGCCAAGTATCCAGTTATGTTTCATATTTGTTTTGATCTGGCATCAACACAGAACTGGCTGGGTTGAAGAGTATGAGATCAGAAAACAGCAGTTTTGGAGTTGTGGTGTTTCTTTGGAAGTACCAGGCAGTTTACCTTTCCAAACAAAAGACAGGTATTGAAAAATAAGTTACAAGGTAATAAAAGAAAGTGTTCTAGTAAAGCTCTCATAGAGCAGGCTAGAACAAGACAGTCTGCTCTTGTCTCTTTAACCTACCTCTGACCAGTCCACAAGGTTGATTAGCCTGCTGCATTCCAGGTGCAACTTATATGCTATGCAGATGTCTGGGGCAATATTGGGAATGCAGCCTTCTTCACTTTTCAGGGCTTCATTCTAAAAAAATACAGTGAAGTAAGGTAACTACTATTTTCAGATGATGAGGAATACAAATCAGACATTAATGCAACCGCTAACCTAGATGTATAACAGAAGTATCTCTGGTGTCCTTTTAGTCTACTACTCTTCTGTAGTTATTCAGTTCTTGTTTAGATTTAGGCCTTGGTCAAAGTCCCTCTGGCTCCTAGACACAAGAACATTCTTAGAATTCAAGTACACTTCTCAGGTTAATAATTGTTAATTTCTGAGATTATAGTGCATTTCTGATTGTCATAAAAAGTTTACAGAATTCTTTGGGATTATTTCATAAAATGGTACAACCCAGGGCCCGTGCAGTGGCACAATTTGCTGATCCTCTGCCTGCAAGCGTCAGCATCCCAAGAGTGCTGGTTCATGTCCCAGATATTCCATTTCCCATCCAGGTCCCTACCTGTAGCCTGGAAATGCAGTGGGGATGGTCCTAAGCTGTGGGAACCTGGCCTGCATGGGAGATGCGAAAAAAAGCTCCTGCCTTCTCGGCTATGGCCATCATGGCCATTTGGGGAGTGAACCAGCAAATGGAAGACTCCCAGTCTCTCCTCTCCATAAGTCTAATCTGCCTTTCCAAGAAAAATAAATCTATAAAGCCTACCATGACCGGGAATGTAAATTGTCAGCACTGGAGATAGATCTTAAGCCCTTTTAGAAGCCTTCAGTGGTTTTTCAACTGTTTGAATTTCATGATAGTTATCAAGAGCCACAAAATCTTAACATGTGTATCTAGGCCAGGATTAAGAGTTTTTAATGTGTGACTTTTTGTTAACAATAGCTGATTTGTTATGTAAACATAATAATTATTAAAATTCTATTATCTTTGAGAACCACAGGTTGGTTCATTTATACTGTTTCTATTCCCTGGCATCACTTGGCGTGTTTGTGTGCCATTTTGCAACAAGAAACTGATAACCAAGAGCTTCATGCTGTCATAGAGTCGATATCTAAGTAACATCTGACAACAACTCTTCCCAAAATATTCTGTGTCTCTCCCTTTTTCCTCTCTCCTTAATGTGATCATCTTACCTGGCTATAAGAAAGCTAGTTTTAAAAACTCTAAATGGAGGGCCCAGCATGGTGGTGCAGTGGTTAAGGTCCTCGCCTTGCACGCCCGGGATCCCATATGGGCGCCGGTTCTATCCCGGCAGCCCCGCTTCCCTTCCAGCTCCCTGCCTGTGGCCCGGGAAGGCAGTCGAGGACGGCCCAAAGCTTTGGGACCCTGCACCCGTGTGGGAGACCCGGAAGAGGCTCCTGGCTTTGGACCGGCATAGCACCGGCCGTTGTGCTCACTTGGGGAGTGAATCATCGGATGGAGGATCTTCCTCTCTGTCTCTCCTCTGTATATCCGCCTTTCCAATGAAAAAATAATAAAAATAAATCTTTTTTTAAAAAAAAACTCTAAATGGGTAAGCTGTCCTTATAGTATTTTAGGAATAATAACTGTCTAGATTTAACGCAGTGTATTGCTTAGGAGTCTGTTTGATGGGTTAGTTGCCAAACTCTGTATAAGCTTCCTAAAGTTACTCAGACCTTTGTTTCCTTTAGATTCTGATGCAAATTCAAACTGACTTTCCTTATCCATTAAATGCAGCCATTTGGGTATTTAATTTCACCAGGCTGTTCTGTTTCATCTATTATTTGGTTAGATCTGTAAGAAACATTTCCTTTATTTTCAGGGGAGAAGTAGCATCACGCTCCTGAATCTTAGTACCTACCTGGCTGGGTTTATAACACAAAGGGCAGACAGTTGACAAATGGTCAAAAATTGTCACCATTAGTTGACTACAGATTGCTGCCTTCACTGAGTAAGAAAACTTCCAAGACAGAATTAGTGCAATCTAGGTCCTAAGCTGCCAACTTTCATTAAACTAGAGCTAAAAATTCATACCATTTTGTAACAGGGAACTCCCAGGCTTTAGCTAACCTCATAACTGAATCTGTTTCTTACCTTGAGATAATAGTAAGGATTGTTGAGTGCAGTATGGAGGGCTATTCGTGGAGCAGCATTTAAGTGTTCACGAAGGGTGTTGGCAGCACTGAAATAAACCACCTCATGCAAAGGCTGTGTCTCTGGAGGCAAAAGATAATCTCTGAAAAAGGCCAAAGTCTAGTATTAGATTCTAGATAAGCAAGGGTTTGTTTTCATTTTTGTCTGCTCAATGGAGGACGTCTTGCCACAGACTCTGAGCAAAATGAAATGAGAGAAAAATCCAAGTATTAGGCCCAATGCACAGTTTTACTTCAAATTGTACTTCTTAGGACTGATGTGCCGGCATCCCATATGAGCATTAGTTTAGGTATCAGTTGCTCCACTTCCAATCCAAAAGCAAAAGACAGCCCAAGTGCTTTCAGCCCTGCATCCACTTGTCAGACTCAGGTTTGGCCTTGCCTGGTCTTGGCCATACTACCACTTGGGAAGTGAACAAGATGACCATCTCAGGCTCTCCTCTCTGTAACTCTTTTAAAAAATTAAATAGCTCGGGCCCAGCGCGGTGGCACAAGTGGTTAAGGTCCTCACCTTGCACGCCCGGGATCCCATATGGGCGCCGGTTCTAATCCTGGCAGCCCTGCTTCCCTTCCAGCTCCCTGCCTGTGGCCCGGGAAAGCAGTCGAGGATGGCCCAAAGCTTTGGGACCCTGCACCCGTGTGGGAGACCCGGAAGAGGCTCCTGGCTTCAGATCGGCATAGCATCGACCGTTGTGCTCACTTGGGGAGTGAATCATTGGGTGGAAGATCTTCCTCTCTGTCTCTCCTCTCTGTATATCCGCCTTTCCAATAAATAAAATAATAAAAATAAATCTTTAAAAAAAAATTAAATAGCTCTTTAAAAAGTTTTTAAAGGATTTTTTTTTTTTTTTTGGAAAGGCATATTTATGTAGAGACCACTAATGACCACAATGGCTGGAACTGAGTTTATCGAAAGCCAGGAGCTTCTTCCAGGTTTCCCATGCTGGTGCAGGATTCCAAAGCTGTAGGCCATTCTCTACTGCTTTCCCAGGCCATAAGCAGTGAGCTGGCCAGGAAGCTCAGCAGCTGGGACACAAATAGGTACCCATCTGGAATCCTGGCGCTTGCAACGTGGAAAATTAGCCAATTGAGCCATTGTGTTGGGCCCAAGAAGTACTTGTTTTTCAAAACTTCTTCCAAACTTTACACTAAAAGAAACTACTACAAAAAGGAATGTCATAAACATATACATTGCTTGAACATTTCATAGTTAACTTTTTAGAAAAATGGGTATCTACATCCTCTATTAGAGCAAGCATTTAGTTCTTGAAAGCATTAAATGCTGGCCTCCAGCCTGGATGAATTTAAGGAAACTGGAGATGAGTGGCCTGCTGGGGTGCCTGGGTCTGTTCTCCTTTCCGCCTCCTGACTACTACGCAGTCTGGAATGCAGCGGGTGATTGCTCAAGTAATGTCACTGCTACCAACATGGGAGGCCTGGACTGAGTTTCCAGTTCCTCACTTTGGTGTGGTTTAACCCTGGAAGCAGTGGACATGGGGCATTGTACCAGTAAACAGAAAATTCTCTGTCTCTCTCTTTTCGTCTCCCTATTTCTCTTTTAAACAACTACTTTTAAACTTACACGTGGGCTAGCTGTAATGGCTCAATGTCTAAATTCTCACTTTCCAAGTGCCAGAGTCCCATATGGGCCCCAGTTCATGTTCCAGCCGCTCCATTTCCCATTCAGCTCCCTGCTTATGGCCGGGGAAAGCAGTAGAAGATGACTGAAAGCTTTGAGACCAAGAATAGGCTCTTGGCTTTATATCAGCTCAGCTCCAGCTGTTGTGGTTGGTCATTTGGGGGTGAACCCACGGAAGGAAGATCTCTCCTCCCTGTAAACACGCCTTTCTAATAAAAATAAATATTAAAAAAAAAAACCTTACACGTGACTTGAGATTTTCTTTTTCCACTGTGGGCTATATGAAAGACATTACAGACTGTGTTCATTTTCCTACCAGCCCAGGCAGAACAAAACCATCTGTTAGGGCAGTCACCACAGGCATGTCCTTCCAGGTGTCTTGTCTTTGTCCCTGAAATCGGTACCAGTTGTAGAGATTGCCCCTACACCTGCTTTACTCTTTTGTGGGCAGTGGCTTGAGTGAAGGAACAGTCAACATACACACTGCTCTTCACCCCTCCTCTTCTATCTGTTCTTGCATTACTATACTCATTCCACTTCTAGATTCTTTTCCTTCTTCCAGAGTCAACTGAACAAGCCCTGTTTACCAAAAGTGTTTAATTCTGACTGATAAGTTTGAGATGTAGGTTTGGAGACAATAGGTCAAGCTAGAAAAGGCTTTCCTTGTAGAAGAATGCATAGTAAAGCAGGATTTTGGTTCACCTGGGCAGCAAGTGGGGTGGTCGGACACAAGGCCCCTCAGGTTTTGGGCACTTGTCTTTTTATGCCGTGTGTGTGGAAAAGGGCCATGTATTTTTGCAGAAACCTGCGTCCACCTGTGGTAATGTCGGACTGGCTGAGCAAAAAGCCCCTTAATGTGTGCTTACTGGACTCAACAATACACACTGGTCTTATCCTAATATGTCCCTGGCAAGGAACTGTGAAAGAGTCAAGTCAGCAGAATCAGGCAATGAAATGCCAGTGTGCCATCTTCAAGGTCATTCTGCTTGTGCCCAGTTTTACCAGGTGCAGAGTTAACCATTTGTGTTCCACTAGTCTAAAAATTAACAGACTTGACTCTCACGAAAGATGTGCATTCTAAACCCCAAAACTTCTCAGGAAATGTTATCTGTGATGTTCCCTGTCTCTAATGCTGGCTGACTACCAGTTTGTAACTTCTTACCATAAAGTTGCTACACCAGCCTAATATAGCACGCTCTCAATTATTACACACATGGCTGCCATTCGAAAACCTTCCTGAAGTCTCTACTAGGTAATAATGATTGGAAATCTAATAAGGTAACCAGGTAGACTTAATTTCGGAGACTCCAGCTATTGTGTCACACTTGCACTCCTCTCCTTTTTAAATGGCTTTAGGCTTGGGCAATTCTCAAGGTGAGAAACCTTTGTAGATGCCTTTAGAGAACCTCCATCAGAGGTATAATGAAACTACCTGCCTTTATTTTGTTTCTACTGGGCTACATAAGATAAATGATAATAACAAAATAATAGACTTTTTGTCCAATTGCAGACTTGGACGGAGGCTGGTGTAAAAATATACTTCTACAACTTGCAATGAGAATAAGAAATACATGAGTCTGGCATTTAGGGAACTGCATAATGTTTATTTCAGATTCAGATGAGAATTTACAAGCAGATGAGAGGTACTACTCCAAAGAGATGTTTCTGTCCCAACTATTAAGATTAGAATCAACAAGGGCTACAAAATCATGGCTGCATTAACTTACAAAGTGGCACCCCAGTCTAGGCTCTAAAATGTGGCAGTTTACTCTCTCACCAGTCACTTTTTGCCAAGAGCTATGCACGCTGTCCTGCGAACCTTGCCACCTGAAGGCAACTGCTTAACTGTACTTGTAATCTGCTCACCAGAGCTCCTCTAAAACCTGCGCGGTGGCCCTCGGCGGTGAGGGAAAATGGAGACGCACATCGGGACACCGTGACTGGGGCTTTGCACAGGTCATAGAGGCTCCACACTACAGTCCTCATCTCTTCCCTGCAGCCAGCCCATCTTGGTAAAGACAGTAAATCCTATTGTGGAAGATTTTTTGATTACCTAAAACATTATATTTAAACCACGCTCAATATTATTTCAGTAATTGCTGAGAAGGGCAGAAAGGTATATTAGGTCAAAGATCATGAAAGGAGAATGACTGCTGTGGAGTTTCAGGGCCTACGATCTGGGATGTGAGCAAGTGGACTTTGGCTTCTAGAAACCACATTGCTTCTGCCAGATCACACTGCAAAGCTACTGTTAGTGACTGTAATGGTCACAATGCAGTAAAAGAGAAGAATGAGGAGCTCGGGCTAGACACTACATGAGCAAACAGCAAGACCTGGCAGGCGAGGTTAACTCTTAGTTTTAGATCATAAGTTTTCACTACGAAGGTCTGCTTATTGTTGCAGAGCTTCATTGCTGAAGAGATACATACTTCTCCTGCACCTTTCTGTTAATACTTAGTCAACCACTTTAGACTTCCTGTGTAGCAGTAGCAACTTCTCCCTAATGATGAGAAACAATGACTCTACCCCTGCCATGTCCTAGAAAATGGAACTTTCTTCCTTCCAGGAAGGACATGGCATTTACCAGGCAAGCACTCCACCTTCAGAAACTGAGCATCTGTTTTTTCAGTACTACATTCAGTGCCTAGTCTATTGCTGGGTTTGAATTAGTGTTACAAAAACAGAACAGAGGGTTTTCATTTTTCCCACTTTCTATGAAAACATTTAATTTCTTCTGCACATTTCTCGGTTTTAAGTATAGCATATCTAACTTCATGAACAGTAACTTAGATACTAAAGCAGCTTTGGGAAATTCTTGAATCAAGATGATGTGGGTTTCCCAACAAGGAATCCTCTTACGATCCAGACTGCACAGGTAGACTTCTGTACTTACTGAGCATGTCTCCATATGAATTTATTGCCCAAATCCAAGTTACACTACTCTTTTTGTAAGTTCTTTATTCAGGGCAAAATAGAGCAATATGGTGAGTTGTTTGTTTCCTGGAATTGGCCCAGATCCAGGAAACAGGCAAACTCCTTGTAAAGACATAACAAAGATAAAGTATAATGTGAACATTTTGATATTAGAAGAGGGAAAAACATTTTCTAATCCTGAGATTTCTCTCCAGCTGGTCTAGTGAACTAGATCATATTTAAACTTGCTTCCTGGAACTGACAGGGAATTCATGAACCTGATCCTTTGATCTGACACCTTGGTAAGAACAGAAGAGAAAAATTACCAGCTGAAGCTGAATGAAGCAAATGGAAAAGGATAAAGTCTAATCTAGGAGAAAATATTCTGGGTCGCATTACTATATCAGTCTTGTTTGGAAAAACAGCACAACTTATGACTCTTAACTTACCTCACCAGACAGTCAATGAAGTCCACAACCTTTTCTCTGAGTGCTTCAAACCTGGTTTGCTTCTTATTTGTTCTTCTTAACTCCTTCATTTCCAGGAGGGACTATGGATGAAAGAACATACTTTTCAGGTGACTCCGAGCCAGCTGGAAGCAAATGGTGCCCATTCCATAAGATGAAACGGAACCAGATCAAGATGGGTATTGTTTACTTTTAGTGTTGAAGTCTGGTTTTTAAGCATATACAAAGAAACTTTCGGAGAAAGAAAAAAAGCAGTGATGAAGTTACGTGGCAGAGTATTCACTGCGCATATTCTTAGTTCTTAAAGAAAAGATTTGAGAAGAACCTTGCCTTCTGATAACTAGCAAAACAAATTCCATGTGTTGTGTTTCACTTGGATATAAAATCTTTTCTACATTATAATTTGGTATCAGGATAAAACAAAGTTCCTTGACAATCAAGATTCCAAAAACAGAATTATCAGAGAAGCAATATTAGCAGAAATATTGTGGCTCAAATCTAGTGTGATTAGGTGATTATGGCTCTTCTGAAACTCAACTCGCTCACACAGCAAAACACATCAGATAACCTGACTTTTTTTTTCTGCACCACGTTCCACTTTCCCATAGAATTACTTCTGTTTTTTCCTGAGCTTGCAGGACCAGCTTCCACCTATGTTGGCTGGTAAACTCTAGACTGAGCAGCACATGGATAGTGAGGATGACCGTGGGGTAAACAGGATATTTAATTTATAAGTGAATTAACAGACATCTTTATTCCTAATTGTGGTTTAAAAATGAAAACAAAGATATTAAGGCAGAGCTAATCCGGGGCACAAATGAAAAAAGGGAGTCTCACAGGATGTAGCTGGAAGGAAGAGAGTGGCCTGACCTTCTGAAGATGATAGAGGTCTGTCTTCTGAAGTCCCTTTGCCTGTGACCCAGAACTGTCTTCTTCCTCCTTGACATCTGCTTTTAATACAAAACCAATATATATCAATTACAGTAAATCCAAGTCAAGAGAACACACATTTGTACTAATCCAAAGGAAGTAAAAGCTTTTCTCAAATAAATGATTTTGTCCAGAAACTAAATATCAATAAATAGTACAGAATTTAGGCTGTCCTGAGGCTTTCACAAAGCCAGCTACTAAATTTCAGAACTGTTACCAAAGTGAAAACAATATAACCAAAGGAAAACCACTCAGGGTAATAGCCAAAAGCCTCAAATATTTGTGCTGTTATAAACAGCTTTAAAAAAAATCATACAAACTTAAATTGTTTTCCTTTGATCATGCCAAGACTGTAACTGACACATCCTACATCCTAGCTGACTTCAGTTTTACTGTATCTGAAACAATGTATTTGAGCATAATGACTCAACCATGAGACAGTGTTCAACTCATCTAAGAAAACAAAGTGTATCATGGTTCTTTCAACAAGGGGGAGGCGGGTAGCTAACCAGGCAAATGTGTAACTGAGCTGCTTCAGGACACCCATAAAGCAAGGATGTGAACTGGACCATCTGGCCTAAATCTAAGACCTCCTGTCTTAGGTACAGCTGGAAAATATGCACTGTTCCCAAAAAGAACTTTCTTTTAAGCTAAGGATAATTTCTAGCTCTAGAAAGACATTAAGATTGAAATAGCTATTTAATTCATTGTCTAATCTCATCAACATAGCACAGCCTTAAAAATAAATCTGATATATCACTCTGCCCTACTTAAACTTCCCCAGTTGTCATACTAAACCCCAAACAGTGTAAATTAAATGCCAAGCAACAAAAGATAGCATGTAGTCAAATATTTTTACGTACGCAACATGAGGCATTTTAAGGTCATTTATTAATAAATAATCTCAGACATTTTTTTTAAACACAGTAGTTTTATTTTGTAGAATTTTTCATTCTTCAGCGTGTAAATCATCTTAATCTCTTACCTCCCATTCTGAAAAGCTGCACTCTTTGACTGTCAGTGTACTTGTTCCATGTTACATGCATTCTAATTAAAACAAATCTTCACTTTCTTTGTTAAAAAATCCCTATGAATTCAATGCTGTGAAAGATTGAAGTTTATCCTTATTAAATCAATTCTACTACTTATGTCCAGTGATCATGGTTAGAAGACATTTAAGTTATGCATGATTAAAAAAGAAACAATGAATTGGTTCTATCCTAACTAGCTGTGTGATCTCAAACAAGTCACTTTGTCTCTCTGAATCTTCTGGCTGTAGCTGGACTTCATGCCACTAACCCGTGGCCCTTTACAAGTTTCATATTCTGAAAAGTGGCCCAGATTGTACTGCAGTGGCAAAAGAGGAATGCCCACAAATAACCTGAAAGGGAACCATGTGGTAAATGTGAGAACTTCCTCATTGTGACTGCACCTGGCATTCCAGTTAAGCAATGTTTTCTTCCTCTTCTACGTGTGAGCACTCAGTGGCTATGGAGGAATATGGAGTGATTTGTATAGAAGCAGTTTCCTCGGGCCAGCACTGTAGAGTAGTGGGCAAATTTTGCCTCCCACAATGTTGACATCTCATTATCTGCACTGGTTCCTGTCTCAGCTTACTGCTAAAGGCCTGGAAAAAGCAGCAGAGGATGGACCAATTGCTTAGGCACCCACCATCCACATGGGAGACCATATGAAGCTCCTGTCTCCTTGCTTCAACATGGCACAGTGCTAGCCATTACAAACCTTGGGGGGAAAGAACCAGTACAAGTGGCCGCAATGGCCAGATCTGAGCCCATCTGAAACTAGGAGCCCAGAGCTTCGTCTGGGTCTCCCATGGGGGCGAAGGGTCCCAAAGCTTTGGGTAATCCTCGACCGCTCTCCCAAGCCACAAGCAGGGAGAAGGATGGGAAGCAGGGCTGCTGGGATTCGAACCAGTGCCCATATGGAATTCTGGCACATGCAAGGCAAGGACTTTAGCTGCCAGGCTACTGAACAGGCCGAAAGCAGAGGAGTTTTAAGAGAAAGGGACACTTGACAAACAGAACAAACTAAAATGATAATTACAAGTGAGATATTTTCACCATGTCATGTCCAAGTCTATGTCCTTATAAACCAAGCTGCTTCTTTTTGCAATATCCATTACAAATTTCCCTAAATCAGGCCCAGTGTGTGGCATAGCTGCCATGTGTAATGCAAGTATTCCACACAGGTGCTGCTTGAAGTCCCAGCTGCTCAGTGAATATAACTTTCTGCTAATGGCCTAAGCATCTTTCAGCAGAATATGGCCCACGCTCTTGGGTTTGTGCTAGCCGTATGTAAGACGCAGAAGTTGTTTCTGGCTTCTGAATCTGGCTTGGCATAGCTCAGGCCACTATGGCTATCTGGAGAGTGAACCAGCACATACAAGATCTCTACCTTGCTATCTCTCTCTGCCTATTCTCAACTTTGACTTTCCAAAAAAAAAAAAATTTAAAAGAAAAAAACTTTCCCTAAGTAGAGGAAAGCAGTGAAATTGACAGCCCACCAGTTCGAAGAGACCTCGGAGGAGAAGCTGTGATGAGCTGAGAAGCCTATATGTGATGAGGCTCCTCCAGCACTTCAGCAAATACATGTGGAGATCATGCAAACCCTCTACTACTGAGGAATGCCAGGCTGCCTTAACTCACACAGGACTGAAAGATTCAACTTTTTGCAAATCAGATTAAAGCTTTCTACATATTTTGGTTATCAGCATAACACTGAACCTCACTGCTATGGAAACAGTTCGTAGATATTAACTTTTCAGGCTTACAATTGGTTTATGCAATGCTTTTGCAATCTACAAAGATTTGATGATATATTTAAAAAAAAGCATCTAAGGCCTGGCACGGTAGTGTAGAGGCTAAAGTCCTCACCTGGCATTCCCGGGATCCCATATGAATGCTGGTTCTAATCCCGGCAACCCGGCTTCCTATCCAGATCCCTGATTGTGGCCTGGGAAAGCAGTTGAGGACAGCCCACAGACTTGGGACCCTGCACCTGTGTGGGAGACCCGGAAGAAGCTGCTGCCTTTGGATGGGCTCAGATCTCTGTCTCTTACCACATCAGAACCTGGTATTTACCATGTCAGTTTAGTTCAGTCAATGTCAAAGCCAGCAGAGGGGCAGGATATTATAGTCTCACCATCAAGGCTCTCAAACTGGGCCAGGAACTCCTCGATTTTCTTTGCTGTGTTGTCAAGCTGATTTTCAGAAGAGGACTTAAAAACACTGGAACATTTCTGAAGCATGGTCATCAGTTCATCTTTTGCCAACATCCTAGAACAGAATAAGACAGGAGATATAATACAATAGAACTAACACACTTAAAAACGTTTTCTATATACTCAATGTTTCTGCTTGGGAGATGAGATACATTCTTCATTAACAGACACCAACCCCTGGGGTGATATTCTCCTTACTGTATGTGACATTCAGAAGTATTCTTGAACAATTCTCATGGTAAAGCTTAACTCAATTCTCAATTCTCAAAGCTTAACTCAAACCATTTAAAAAGACCTGGGTTTATAGCTTGGCTCTGGCATTTGCCATGTTTATAACACTGAACAAGTTTGCTACACATGTCTGACCCTTACTTTACCTGCCTTTCAAGGGAAATAGAAACGAGCATTCCATATGCAGGTTGGTTCAAGTCCCGATTGTTCCAATTTTGATCCAACTCCCTGTTAATACACCTGGGCAGTCCTGTTTCCCATCCTGCTCCCTGCTTGTAGCCTGGGAAAGCAGTCAAGGATGGCCCAAAGCCTTGGGACCCTGCACCTGCGTGGGAGACCTGGAAGAGGCTCCTGGCTTCTGCCTTGAGATTGGTGCAGCTCCAGCTGTTGTGGTCTTTTGGGAAGTGAATCAATGGACAGAATATCTTCCTCTCTGTCTCTCTTCCTCTCTCTATATATCTGACATTGCAATAAAAGATATTGTGTGAGATGTCTGCATCCCATACTGCAGTCAGTGCTCAGCAAGGCAGCTGGGTATTTGATAGGAAGGAATGTTTGTTAAAGAAAAAGCAAGAGAAGTCCCAGGAATATCCTAATTGAAGGAATTGTATAAGTACAAAGAAATGTTATTGGAATTTGAGAATAAAAAGATAGCCTTTCAGTGAAAACTGAGTTTCCATGGGGAGTAATTTTTCCCAAATAGCATGAAATTAGTTTCTTATCTTTCACTGCACCTGTTAGTTCACTAATATTTGTGTCATTAAGTCTGGATTTAAAGTGCTTTTCAGTGTCAATTTTCCTCCTACTGTGCCCATCTGTTTGGAGGGCCCAGAGGAAACCAGAACTTAATAAATATTGAGTTTTTGAGCTTTTTAAATAATATTTTCATATAAGCGATTATATCCATGGAGAAAAATTGTAAAACTGTATGCAGACACTTATCTCAAAACTAATTTCCTTTTCTCACTATCCAAATGCTCATTATTTTTTATTGAAGACAAAAGGGACATTGTACATAGAAGTGAAGCCAAAAAATGTAGATTTCTACTTCTTAATTTTAACATTTATTTATTTTTACTAGAATGGCAGATTCACAGAAAAAGACCTTCCATCTGTTGATTCATTTCCCCAGTGCCCACAACAGCCGGAGCTGAGCTTATCTGAAGCCAGGAGCCAGGAGTTTCTTCTAGATCTCCCACACTGGTGCAGAGTTCCAAGGCTTTGGGCTGTCCTCGACTGCTTTCCCGACTACAAGCAGGGAGCTGGATGGGAAGTGGAGCAGCTGGGACAAGAATTGTCACCCACATAGGATCCTGGTGCTTACAAGATGAAGATTTAGCCACTGAGCCATTACGCCAAGACCTGATATCTACTTTCAAAAGTCATATTTGTGGCCAGTGCATGGCACAGTACCCTAAGCCTCTGTGGTGCCAGCATCCCACAGGGGTACTGGTTTGAGGTCCAGCTGTTGTTCTTTTGATCCAGCTCCCCGTTTTGGGAAAGCAGCAGAGGATGGCACAATTCCTTGGGCCCCTGCACCCACATGGCACATGCAGAAGAAACTCCTGGCTTCCCATCAACTCAGCTCACGCTATTTCGACTATTTCAAGATCCGTGGATGTAGAATATCTTTCGTCTTCTCTGTACTTCTTTCAAATAAAAATAATTTCCTTTTTAAAAAATAAATAAATTTCTGGTTTTTAAAAAAAGATTTATTTATTTATTTTTATTGCAAAGTCAGATACACAGAGAGGAGGAAAGACAGAGAGGAAGATCTTTCGTCCACTGATTCACTTCCCCAGTGCCCACAACGGCCGGAGCTAAAGCCAATCTAAAGCCAGGAGCCAGGAGCTCTTCTGGGTCTCCCACGTGGGTGCAGGGTGCCAAGGCTTTGGGCCGTCCTTGACTGCTTTCCCAGGGCACAAGCAGGGAGCTGGATGGGAATGGAGCCACTGGAATTAGAACCGGTGCCCATAAATCCTGACACATGCAACGTGAGAACTTTAGCTGCTAGGCTGCTGCACTGGGCCCTTTAACAAATACATTTCTAAAAACACAAATAAAAGATTTGTTTTTGAGAGATGGTAACTGACAATAGTACTAAAATATTTATTCATATAATAGATAAGTAATTTGTGAATTATCCAACTTTAACGTAGACAGCATCACAGCAGAGAAGGCGTCAAGGGGCTCTGTGTACTCCTTTATATTTCTAATCAAAGTCAGCAGTTCTCTCTTTCACAAGGAGCGCATCACTCAGTGGTCCTGCCCCTCCCATGCCAGGCAGGGCTGTCGTGTTCTCATCTTGCAATGATCACGCTCCTTGCCCTGATTCCAAGCTGACAGATCCACGTCATCCCCATCAGGGCTCCCCTCACGTAGTCTCAATTTCTGACTAAACTGTCCCTGGCTTTCCTTCAAAGCAAGGTAAAGTTAGCAAAGATAGGGGTGGTTGCTACACTAGAATACTATACGGTACAAGCATAAGTTCAACATACAAATAAATGTTCTCAGACACAACAAGGCCACTTAACAAACTTTGGCAGGAAGTTCTGAAGGAAGGTGTTACTGGCAAGCTTAGGGCAGATTAAAAAAATAAAGAAACCAAACCTACCTCAGTAGCTGTAAGGCCGATGCATACTCCTTTGAATGCCGTATGTTCCTTTCTAAACACGCACAGTACAACTCTCTGATCTGTAAATGAACAGCATACTTGTGAGGAACCCAAAGAGCTATACTCAGATTATATAACATTCATCTGGTAAAACCTTGTACATTGTTAAAATACACAAAAAATTAATTTCATTAAAAACAACCCTTTTACTTAGATGACAACATATTTGCCATAACACATAAATAAAATTTTGTAAGAACACAACTTTCGTAAATTTCAGATGAAACTATTTGGGGACTGGCTTGCTTCACTGATTACTCTACAAGAGGAAAATAACAGAAGTGATGCAAAGATGCTCCTTGGCAGAAACCACTTCCCGAGTCAGCCACTCCCACAGGGCGGCCTCTGCTCTGGATGTGAGCATTTAGAAATATGGATCTGCAATGAACATAGGGATGCATGTTGGTTTGTCGTAAAACAGGTGTTTTGGATATATTCCTAGGAGTGCTATTGCTGGGTCATATGGTATGCAGATTTTGAGTTATTTGAGTGTTCTCCAGACTGATTTCCATAAAGGCTGTACCAATTTGCAGCTCCACCAGCAGTGGAGTAGGGTTCCCTTTTCCCTGCATCCTTGCCAGCAAGCGTCGTTGGTGTTCTTGTTTATGTGGGCCAATCTTGCTGGTGTTAGGTGGTACCTCATGTTCATTGCAGCACAATCAGTAATTGCAAAAACATGGAAGCAACCAAAATGCCCATCAGCAGAAGATTGGATAAGAAAGCTTTGGTTCATCTACTCCACGGAATACTACTCAGCTATTAAAAAAAACAAAATGCAGTTCTTTGTGGCTAAATGGACACAACTGGAAACTATAATGCTAAGGGAAATGAGCGAATCCCAAAAGATTAGATACCACATGTTTGCCTTGATTTAACCTGTAATTTTTTGTTTGGTTGTTTGTTATTTTTTGAACCTGTCATTGATACTGTCTCAACCCAGATGTTTCGAAGAATGGAACTTGCATTATTTTTAACATATTGTTTACCCAATACTATGTCAATTAATTCCATAATGTTGTATATTGATACTGAGGCCTTGTTGGGGCTTTTAACTGACTGGATCTTTACTCTGTTAGACCTATCTTCAGACCACAGAAGGTCTCCCCAAGAGGCCACTGAACTTATCTGGACAATAAGACGCTGAACTTTATGCTAGGCATGTGTTTGCAAGGAATGAATCTCAACTGAACTTGAACTATGGTTATGCAACAAGGTGGAGGAATCCACCATGGGGGGAGGGGTATGGGAGGGGTGGGGGGAATCCCCAGCGCCTATAAAACTGTACTACATAATACAATGTAAGCAACAATAAAAAAAAAAAAAAAAGAAATATGGATCTGTTCCATTTGCATCAACTCTACAGGTGTTCAGAAGGATGAAGGCTGGACGCAAAGGCCAAAACTAAGCAGAGCAGAAGCACTCCTTATGTTGGCATTCTTGGTACAAAGCAAGGTTAACCACTGAACATTCTCAAATAGATTCCTTTTCCCAGCTTACTAAGAGAGCAGGGAACCAGTTCTCTCAAAACAGGGGAAAAAGAAGTATTAAAGAGGAAATTTTAAATAACATAGTACAAATACATTATAGGGTTAACACTACCACTGGAATCTATCAAAACAAAACAAACAAAAACCCAGTATTTCGATCACCAGCAATGTGTACAGCTGGAATGCACTCAGACTGTGCTGCCATTTTAAGTGGATTCATTTCCAGTTCTGATGCTTGAGTGCTTAGCAGTATTCCCACTGTATAGATTCCAAATGAGGAAGACTTGGTTACCTGTCGCCCCAGTGGGTACTTAGGAAGAGAAGAGGTAAAGTTATGAAGACATTTCAAAGCCAGGAAGTAATTTACATGGTAAGTATGCAGGTTTTCTAGTAATGATTGTGCTTCCTCCTAAAAAAATCACACAGTATAGAGTTATGTAAGACACTGAACAGGACATAATAAAATTAGTTTCACGGATATGCAATCTCCGAAACACAGGTAAGATTCAAAAGTACAAACTGATTTGTTAATTTATGAAAATTGGAGAGACCACATAAAATTCTATGACCAAGGCAGGCGCCTATTCCTAAGCACCAAGTCTGATACTGTAACTTAGTCCCCTGCTATCTCTAGAGCTGCCACCATATTTTGGCCTCTAGAATCACCAAGCATGCAACACAGCCCCCTGGCCGAAGCCTGCCTATGCAATCACCCGAGCGGGGTCCATCAGCCCCCACTTGACCAGCATCCAAAGCCAGAGACCACCAGAGAGCGGTTTTAGAGTAATCAATGCTGAATACATGCACTCATAAATCTTCCTGCTAAATAACTGTTGGCCAAGAAAGGAGAGACTACAAAAGAAAACACAACAGGGGAACCTTATAACTCCCTGCCTTTTGCTCAGAATCTTCAATAATGCTTTTGTTTACTTTTCCAATTAAGAGAAAAATGAAAAAGAGATGTCTGAAGCCAATAAGTTTTATAGTTCAGAACTCATCAATTATTGATACATTAGTGTTCAAAAAAACCCTCTAGATGGCTACTTTCGCAATTTAGTTTCAAAAGCTATCCCTCCACCCAGGGGAGGTAAAGTGAGGAATGCTAAGATTTCTAGAGCCTCTTGAAATAGCTAAGGAATTATTTTAAAGTGTCACAGTGTATAAAACACTTTCAAGCCTCCAATTCCTATTGTAATTGGTTACTTCAGTAGCACTTTTCTTAAAATTATGACCTGTAGTTTGTTCTTCAGATTTTTTTCTCTCTAAGAAGTCAAATAAAGGACATTACTGGGTTCTGTCTTGAATTCAACATTATCTTACGGATACAATAAGTTTTGGTGTAAGCCATGCAGAAAATTACACCCAGGTATCAATAAATTGAAGCAAATTTATCTTATACAAAGCTAAAAGATATGATTTATTTTTTTTAAACTAAGTCACTTAAGAAATCAATTGCTTGTTGAACAAAATATGGTCGTTATCTGAAAGCACAGGGCAAATGAAAGAAAAGCTTTTAGTATCAACACATTTTTCCCCCTATCATTTGAGCTGACCTTTGAAAACCAGGTCTCTTACCGAAACAACAGTGGTCACAAGCAGAGGGTACATTAACCACTGCTGGGAGAGTAAACTTCAATTCCATTTTTAATGTAACCTATGCAGAGACTGCATAAAGCTATTCACTGATTTGCCCTGACATATGCTTTAATCACTTTTAAGCATGAAAAACATTTTGGGGGAAGAAAGAATCTACCACGGAATAAAATGATACTTCAAGAATGTACTACCTATTTTTTGCAGAAGAATTGAATATTCTCACTGAATTTTAGCTACATGAGAGAGGGACAGAGAAACACTTTACATAGTATGGGGCAATGTTGTACACTCAAAGAATTATATGTCCTGGTGTAAGTGAGTAGACAAACTGACCATTTTTCTCCCAGGTTGTCAGAGCCTTCATGTTTCTTACAGAACAGTGCATCCCATACTGAATAGATTTCCAGTGCTTAAAAATGTGTTTGGGTGATAGTAGTCAGAGTTGTTCCCATAGTATATGGCAGACTATTTCATCTGACACCTAACTTAGGAACCTGGGGTTTGCTTCCATCACTGGAGAACAAACCATGCTATGCTGCACTTAGTGAGAGAAGGTCTGCCCAATCTTAGTAAGGCATTTGTAAAGATTAATTCCAACTATCTGAAATCTTTGCCTTGTGGTCTCGCTGTAGAAAATATCTGCACACACAATTCCTTGCCTCCTCCATATATGTGTTCTTATCAGGTGCAACAGTACACATCACAAATGGTTAACTTCTCTGCAAAACCTGTCCTCTCACTGCTCTCACATACCTGGAATGCCTTCACCTAACCAGAACAATTTCTATTCCACTTTATGGATAAGAAGGTTTTGTTGCTGGGGGAAATTTCCCAGGTAATACATGAAAGCAGAATCACACATGCAAAAACAAAGCTTAGCGAAGCATTAGTCCTACTTTACATTCATTAACTTTTTCCTAGGCATCCTGTCTGCACACCAGTCATGGCAGTCATCATTTTATTTCATAACAGTGTTTAGGAAGATTCTTTTCAAGCAGACCCTTTGGCTAGGAATATTCATCACTTCCCAGAAACAGTTTTCTCCATCCTTGAATCACAAGACTTCTGAACCTTTACTCATGTTGACACTCATGCAGGAACAGCTATAAGAAAATGGCAGATGCACTCCAACTTTGTTTCTTTCCCACTTGCTGTCTTAGAGTTCTCCCTCCAGATTCTTGCATGAAAAGCTCTATAACTTGGTTTAGGTCTTCAATCAAACTTCACCTTCTCATAGTAAGCCCTTAGCTAAAATCTCAATGTCATTCCCCATGTGCACTGAGCTTTATACTCCTTTCTCTGCTTCACTGTTTTCTTTTTAACACTATCATTAGCACAGATATTTACTTTCTCTTGTGGCCAGGATAGATTGAAAGCTCAAGGACAGCAAAGACTTTCTGTGCTGTGACCATTTCTGCATTCTCAGGATCAACCAACACCTGGCACATAATATTCCCAAGATATTTCTCAGAGAAGAAATATATTAGAGGCTGCTGTGGTAGCTCAATGACTAATCCTCTCTCTACAAGTGCTGGCATACCATTTGGGCACTGATTGGTGTCCTGACTGCTCCACTTCTGAACCAGCTTCCTGCTATGGACTGGGCAGGAGAGGATGGCCTAGGTCTTTGGGCCCCTGTACCCACATGGGAGACCTGGAAGAAGCCCTGGCTTCAGATTGGCTCAGCCCCAGCCACTGCAGCCGTTTGAAGAGTGAGAGAGCAGACGGCACATCTGTCTCTCCTTCTCGCTGTAAATTTGCCTTTCCAATAAAAATAAATACATCTTTTTAAGAAAGAAAATACATTGATAGATGAAGGCTAATGGTTCTTTTAGATAAAAAACTTGTCTCATTTGATGTGGCCTAGATTTCTTAAGTTTTCAAAAGACAGAAGTCTGAATTGGTAACTAAAATTTCTAAATTTATAAACATTGCCTCTAAGAAATGGTATGATTTATTAAAAAAAAAAGCTTATAGATTACCAGATGCCACTTATGTGTAATAAATATACTGTCTTAAACAAGTCATCTCCAGTCTTACCTTGTTCACTATTCTTTTAAATAAAATCACTTTTATGTTGCTTGTTTATACATGTCCAAGCAGTTATAGTTGATTTCATTAGAAAAGAAATGAATATATATATATATATATAATTTAAATACATATGGTATGGAAAAATGATTAATTACATTTGCCATAATGCATTGCTTTTGCATTTGTTTCTAAGTTCTATATTTTAACACTTCTTTGTTAATAACTGTCTGTAAAGGGGTAAACAGTGACATCTAAGAAGATTTAATGAAATCATGCAAAAACTGTACTATTCTGTAATTTTATCTCTTCAACCAATCCACTGTTTTTTAAAAACTGATTAAAAAAAAGATTATACTGAATTTCAGGATTAAGTGCCACCAGCTGTCTGAGAATTCAGCTTCTCCTTTATTATCTTGCTACAACGAAGCCTTATTTTACTGATTAGTGAGAAATTTCAGCTGGCAATGTTTTCCAGCTTCAACTTAGCATTGTAAAAGAATGCCAAACCATAGCTTTATCCCAGCTCTGATGTGAACTATGTGCCAGTCTTTTCATCTGTCTGTACTTTGGGTTTTCTAATTCCTACTGAGGCAGTTTAGATCAGGAAAAGCACTTGATGAAAGGTTGGGATTTAAGTTGCTAGATCGTGACACACCAGGCTAGTCCTAGTTCATCTGAGTGTTTGATAGATTGTAGCTGTCTCTTTTTGTTCCCCCTTCTCTTCTCCATTTATCATGTTTTAAATAGATTTCCCCCTCCTTCTGCCCTTTACATCTATCAAAAGAAACAGGGCAGAGGTGAGAACAAAGTCTCCATCAAACCTGTGAACCGATTTTGGACATTTTCTTCTTGAATCACCAAGATAAGTCTACCCAGTGGTGAAAAGAAGTCTTTGCCCTGCCACTAACTTTCTAATCACTGTCCTTTCCCTGGGAAGCAGGGCTTCACCTGTAAGTTGAGGACACTGAATCAGGTAATCCTTCTAATAGACAGCAGTCCGCTACATTCCTAAGGTCAGGATTTCCCATTCTCAATGGATCTAAAATCTAATTAAACAAATAGAGATGTGAAACATTAATATGTCATGAAAGTCCAACAGTCACACATAGGTGATGACTTTTTTCAGCAATTTATTTTATTTCTATTTGAAAGACAGTTACAGAGAGGAGAGACAAGAAGAGAGAGACCTTCCATTGACTGGTTTGCTGTCTAAACCAATCCAAAGCCAGGAGCCAGGGAGTTTTTCTTGGGCTCCCATGCAGGTACAAGGTTCCAAGGACTTGGGCCATCCTCTACTGCTTTCCCAGACCACAAGCAGATAGCTGGATGAGAAGTGGAACAGCATAACACAAACTGACACCCATATGGGATGCCTACGCTTAAAGGTAGAGGATTAGTGTACTATACCACAGCACTGCCCTGACTTAATGTTTTTAGTTTAGTATGAATTACAGTATGGAGTTTAACTCTTTCAGGCTTGAAAACCATGGCAAAGAGCTTTAAGGAAGATTTCAATGCAAATACATGAGTGATTCTTAAATAACACACAGAAGTAGTCTCCTAAGCCTGCTCTATTGCCACAATACTTGAAAACTTCATTTCTGACTTCTCAAACACTAATTTAAAATGCTAGGCACTTTCATGTCAGCGAATATTAATTCTTAGTGGTATTTTACAAAGTGCATTTGGCATGAGGCCTGGGCGTTAAATGCCAGGTTTTCCATTGAGTAACTGTGACATGTTAGATAGGTAAGCTACTTTACCATTTGTGTCTCTACT